AGTCACTTTGAGCATTGGAAGTCCAAAAATACCTGTGCAAACTCAAACCCTAATTTAGGTCATCAGTGCAAGGAGGTGTCTTGAGCAGAGCAAAACCCTAATTTGGTCTTGAGTCCAAAGAGTCTTGTGAGGGGAAATCTTGATAAAATGAGAGGGAAAATTTTAGGGTACAACACTCATCATTTTCAAAATTGCTTCTTTGTGTTTGTGTGATTTGAAAAGTTTTTGTTTTGACTTCGATTTAACTCTTGCTTCTGTCTTCAAGAGTGTTACCAAGTGTTTTTGAAAACATGGTTTGAAAAGAGTGTAAGTGTGAAAAGTTTGTTTATTTTGAGAAAGTACTTAAGAGCTAATCTACCTACTCGAAACAAGAATTGTTCTATGTTCGTTTCCTTTAGACAGCGTTATCCCACTATTAGTGAGTAGGTAGCACCATCGTTGGAGTTGTAAGGGTCAATTCGAAAGGGACGTACGATCACTAAAGCAATGTTAGGACGTCTTAGTAATAACCCTAATGTATTAGATCAATTATTCGAGGCAACAATATCCGAGGAAACCATTCCGAGGCAACTTTGATCTTTGAGACAAAAGGGCGACCACTAAAGCACCTATACCTAATGACCGTTTACCGAAGGCAATTCGAAGTGGGAGTGTACCCTAGGAGTGCGCATGTGCAAGTGATTCAATTTTAAGTTATTATCTTTGCACATTTAGGGTTAGCTAACCGTTTTAAAGTTAATCATACATTCTTGTCATGCAACCCTAATCATTCATACATCTAACAGTTAATATTTGCGGAATTAAAAATGTGGAAAATAAGCTACGCTATTACAAGGCTTCGGGTATTTACATAGCCAAAAAAAACCCGTGAAAAATAAGCGATAAATGAAAATAAAGGTCCTAATTAATCTATTACCACTTGTGAGCAATTACATTAATATGGTAAAAACAAATGAATAAAGCGCGCGCGAAGAAATTAAGAACGATAAGAAATTAGGGTTTTGACCCCGTCTAACCTAATTGAAAGAAAAAATGTTTTTTTTTTGCTTTTGATTATTTTTTTAAGAAAAAGAATTAGGTTTTAAGTTAGATACAAAAATAACTAGTAATTAAATTAATTAAAGAAAATGACTAAAATTAACCTATTTTTATATTTTTGGTTATTTTAAGAAAAAGAAAATATAATTAAGTTAAAAAACAAAAACCCTAATTGTTCTAATTAATTTTAATTTATCTACAAAATAAATTAAAGTTATCTAAAATTAAATAACCTAATTAAATTAATTAATTTTTGTATATAAAATATAAATATCCTAAATTTAATTGGATAAAAATATTTTTTGTGATTTTTTTATTTATAAAAAGAATATTAATTTGTGTTAGCAAAACAAATAAATTAATTAATAAAGAAAAAATGTAAAAGAAAAGAAGGAGAAAACTGGGCCTGAAAGTAATTTTGGAGGGTGTGTATATTAGAGTCTGGGCCCAAGAAAAATTGAACCATTGTTGACTTGCTGGATCCAGTGCTACATGTTGACCAACGCCTTTGGTGGATCATCATTTGATAGCCTTTAGATCTGGCCTTCTGGACACATGGCTGATGGGGTGATGATGGACTATGGTGGTCATTGGCCTTGTGTGCGCGCTGGATCATGGAAAGACAAAATATGTGAAATAAAGGGGGACCTGGGATTCGAACCCAGGCCCCAAAGCATTTTCCAACTACTCCACTACCAACTGCGCTGACTTTGTTTCTTGTACATAAAACAAAAAATAATCATAATATTATAAACAAACGAAATAAAAAGAAATTCGCGCGGAAATTCAAATGGACGAGTAGGGTGATGCCACGCCATCATCCCTGTCCTCTCTCCGTGGCTAAAAGGTTTGAAAACCTTTACCTACGGACAACATCCGTCGCTACAACCCTGCAATTTCTCAAAATCAAGCACAAGCAAGATAAACAAAATATATGGCCATGAATTAGTTCGTCTGGACCTGCTGAGCATAATGGTGCTCCTTTTATAGCCCAATTTTACCTGTGTAAAAAGATCCTAAAATGAAGCATAAAACCCTAACAATGGCAAATCTTGATTCAGTCCATAAAAATGCAATTGAATGATATGGATAGCTTGCAAATGTTCCAAGGATCAAGAATATATAATTATTTCGTGCTATAAGTGCCAAAATGATGTAATTCAATTTCAAAAATAAATCAATGTCGTGGCTGACTTACAGTGGGTTTCAGGGCCTAAAAGTGCTTGTTCTTGATTGGTTTTGCTTGCTTGTGATCTCACGAAGCGATTGGGATGGTTAAAGAGTCTTGAAAATGTCTGGAACTATGAATTCGACTCAACACTTTTTTGGTGTTTTTTTCAAGTTTGTTCTGACCTCTCACGCCTCTCTCTAGCCCTGTTTTAGGTCTGCAAATGTTCAATATATATCAAGGATTGGATTAGGGTTCAAAACATGATCTCAATCTTCCTCCATTATAGCTTTTGATTTGGATTTGATTCACTTGAAGATCCTTCCAAAAATAGACCAAATTCAATCTTTTTGTGCACACCAAGGCTTTGCACGAATTCAATCTTTTGCCAACTGGATGTAGGACCAGAGACATGTACAAAATCTTGAGATTTCAATGTTTTGGATTTTTCCATGATTTGTTTTTGATTTAAATTGATTTAATTCAAATAAAAATCAAAATAAATAATAAAAATAAGATAATGACAAGTGGAAAGGGCTAGGACTCGTGGACCATGCTACCAACTCAAAACAAATGCAAAAGATTGGACCCATTTGGCAAAAATTGCAATTTGAGGCATAGTTGACTTTTGATAATTTTGCAAAAAAGGTCAACTTCACCAATGCATAACTTCCTCAATTTTGACTCTTTGAAGGTGTTCTTGGACTTTTTATAAAGCTTGAGATGTCCTCTAAGAAACCCGTTTGGTCTAATCTCAATTTGGTATTCCATGTTCATGTATGAAGCTTTTACAAAAAGGTGTTTTTGTTGACTTTTCAAAGTGACCTATAATGTCCAAATTCATAACTTCTTGTGAGTGCATATTTTGAACTTAGGAGATGAGGATGGATTGTAGAGAATTTCATCCTCTTAAAAATGAGCTTTGGATGGGTCATTTCTCATAAAGTATGAGAAAGTTATGCTTGGTCAAAGTTGAGTTGACTTTTCCTACAAAACCCTAATTTAGCAACTTTTGATTCTTGATGAATTGTGAGCAATCCTTGATGAATCATGATAAAACCTTGATAAAATTATGAAATATGCTTCAAAATGAGGATGTTGACCAAAAATCTTAAAGTTTGACTGTATGTGGGCCACAGTTGACTTTTGCCCTAGCACGATCGATTTTCAGGCCTTTGAGCAATTGACTGAGCAAACTTTCTCTGCAAGGCTTGAAACTTGACATGGATGATCTTGAGAACATATTAGGACAATGGTGAGCATTTGGGATCCCTTGGACTCAAGCATCTTGATGCAACATGAAGCCCTAATTTGAGGTAGACTGCCTTAGGAGAGAGTTTGTCTGGTCAACCCTTGGATTTCCTTGAGCAACTTGAGGATCTTTCTTGAAATGTTTTGAGAAATATGGGAGGGAAAATTTTGGGGTACAACACCGACCTTAAATCAATCTTACTAAACACACGAGAACCCACCAATTGATCCATCAAGTGATCTATCCTTGGAAGTGGATACTAGTTCTTAATCGTTACTTTATTAAATTGTTTATAATCAACACAAAGCCTCGTACTTCCATCTTTCTTCTTTACTAGTAACACTAAAGCTCCCCACGGTGATACACTTGGTCTCACAAACTTCTTTTCAAGTAAATCTTCTAATTGATTCTTTAATTATGATAATTCAGATACAAACATCTTGTATGGTGACATAGAAACAGGTATGGTTCCAAGTACAAGATCAATAGCAAATTTGACTTCTCTCTCTGGCGGTACCTTAGGAATTTCATCAGGGAAAACTTCAGGAAATTCGTGCATCACTTACAAATCCTCAATTATAGCTTGATTCTCGACAGATAGCGACGCCATTAATGAGGACATCGGAGCCACATCTTGCATCAACTGCTATAACTGTCTAGCAGACAACAGACCAGCTTCCTCTTCTTCAGGAGTAGAAAACCTCACAAACTTGTTATAACAGTTAATATGAACATAGTTATGCTCTAACCAGTTCATACCTAAGATCACATCCAACCCACTTAAAGGAAAACAAACTAAATCAACGGTAAAGTATTTATCGAAGATCTACAAAGGGCACTTTAAACACACAAAAGAAGTAGTCATTGATCCCTTCACTACGCCAAATAAGCTAATTAATAGCGCTTTTTTTTTTGATAGCGCTTAAAAGTGCTATTAACCGCGCCACTATTGTAAATATTTCTTATTTAATAGCACTTTAAAAGCGCTATTAAAGTACCAATTTATAATAGCGTTTTAATTAAAGTGCTATCAAAGTCAGTATTTTGCATGTTTTTTGTTTGTTTTTTTATAGCACTCTAAACAAAAAGCGCTAATATATAACATATGTTTGATAGCGCTTTCAAATAAAGTGCTAATAAATGGTACATATTTGGTACAATATTTTTAATAAGTACAGTACAATATTTTTTCTTACACAATCATTTTTTTTGGTGTAAATATAAAATAACTATATTCAATTCAACACAAATAACGCTTTAAGTTACTCATTGCATATATATTATGATCCATCAAATACCAAATAACACTCAGTACCTCTGTGCCATTATATAATAATTAGGATACAAGTGTTAATTTACATTGAAATTGAACTAAAATGTGAAGTAAAAAGGAATGCCCGAGAGCTCCAAAACACAATTATAGGGCGAAGAATAAACAAAACAGCTTTGAAGTGAGCATAGTCATGTGTTTAAAACATTGAAACCCGATTTAAGTAGATGGACAGTAATCAATAATGTTACTTGTACGGCTTCATAGCTACTTCAAGCCACAAGACGATCCATGACCAATTTCACAACTCTAGGAGCATCAACTGTCACAGCTACTTTTACTGTTGGCATATTGGACCATTTAGTGACTTCTTCAAACCTGGTTTATTGCAAAAAGAAAAAAAAGACAGAAAAGTGAGGTAACATATAGTAAAGGTAACCTAAGTTAATCGTACTTGCAATACAAGATGAAGACAAGATATTATTACAAAGAAGTTTTTGTTCAACTCCCCCTTGCTAAATCATCCATTATATTGGACTCTTACAGTGTTGAAACCCGGTTAAAAAAAGAGTAAACCATTTAATTGGTTCTCCAAGCTATGCATGTCAACACATTAGTTCTTCAGAGGTTTTGTTTCAATATTACAGCAACCAAGCCTTATAATATTAGGTTGGGTCGCCTGCGAGGATCAAACGACACCATAGTGTTCTATCATAAGTCAGAATTTGGATCCTCTATATTGACTTAAGTGTAAAGTGAGAAAATCAAGGGTTGTTAACAAACTCATGATTTGTTATGATGCACCTATAATATCTACCTATGATTCGTTAGTTAATGGTTGATATTACTCACGTTACACTCTAAAGTAAATTGCTAACTTTAGAGGAGTGCGATTTGTCATGATGTACCAATAATATCTACCATAAATCATATCTCTATCCTAACCATTGACCCCAAAGTTTCCTTAGTAGTTCCTTGTACAGTGTTTCTAGGTATTCCTATGACTCTAACGGTTGGACTACCCTTCATCTGATCTACACTTATAGCATTCATCTACATATCTTTTCCACACATGTCTAAGCCACCTAAGTCGAGATAGAGCCAAATTTTCTACAATAAGGTGTTACCCTGATTCTATCTTTAAATATAATTTTTAATCATATTGTCTATTATTTCCCCGTAGGTACAGAAGAACATTCTCATACAAACCTCAAAATCAGGGATGTTTAGGCATGCTGAGATTACAAACGAAAACCAATGTCTAGAGCCAAAAACTAAACCAAGCTCCAATAGGGAGATAAAACTCAACCAATTCGACAATAACTCATCTACACAACATAGATGATATTTGATCTTAGATCTAACTTACCCACCAACTAACTAGGGTATTTGGATCCAAAATTCATAACAAAATGAACAAGTCATCACAAGATAGAAAATCTTGATAACAAAGTATTTTCCCTAATAATTGCACTCAAAAGGGTGACGAAGACTTGAATGTTATGGAGTTCCCAAGTCTAACATTGAATAGTATAAGTTGCTCGGCGGAGTATTTGAGTGACTTAGTTTGCCGGTGTCTCAGAAAAGGCCAACTACAGATGAGCTATTTGAAAATGGTCAAGCGAAGTTTCCTATAGTAGGCCTCCAGAATGGCGACTCTTGTGGGCAGTGTTAAGATATAGACTTGGGTATTATGGGGTGCTTAATCACCCCTTGGAAAGCATCCTCCATTAGCCCATACAAAAAGGAACAAGCTTAGCAAACTCCAGGTTATGTTCTTTGTTCAGCTAAGACTCTATTCACCAACGAAGTATCTCTGTAGTTATCCCTGTCATCATGTTTGGTCCAGCAAGGTAGATTTTGGCCAGGCCAGAGCTAATGCAGTGTACTTGAGAATGTAACAGTTATCTGAAACAGAATGTTCTAGGCATACTTGGGAAATCTTCACATAAATTGCTCTTCCTAATCAAATAGAAGGAATATATAAACAAAAGGCCGGGGAATTCATTTAAATTTTAATGCAATCTAAACTCCTATCAAACAACAGCCTAAACCATTTACGAAAAGTTTACTTCCTTCCCCTAAAGAACTAGGTTGGTCACTGAAAAATTCCTATTTCTTTGGTAGAGTCAATGCAATCCCATAGCATCTTTACAAACTATTCTGAGAAATTTGGAGAGAGACAGAACTGCTATAAAATGGAATTAACATTCATATAGATAAATTTCAGGGCTATCAACTCCTAGTGCTTTCTACCTTTTCTGTTTATTGTAGAGAATTGTAAGTCCCCTTGTTATGTCTCTGGTTTGGACTCTAACAGCACCTTCTGTGCAAGTTACGAGTGAAGGATCAACGGCTGCAAGCAACGCTGTAGGGTCATGAAGGTAAACTCCTGTATAAAAGAACTATTAATAATTCGGATGATTAGGCCTATATTATCTCTTTAATGCAGAATGAAGACATACCATTGGTGTTGTATGCGTCACAATGGTAAGAGAAATACACCTCTAAGATTCCGGTAAGGTATTGAGCAAATTTTCCTTTTGAACTTGCTAACTTTTCTCGATCAGAACCTAGTCATTTTGTTTTTTCGGATGAGGGTAAACCAAAACAAATGTTAACATGACAAGTGACATGAACCATAATTAAAATAGAAGCATGCTCATAGCAGTCAACCGATGTCAAGTTTCATGCTAAAATACTGCCAATAGAGACACAAAGGTAATAAAAAGTTTCATGGGTTTCAAAATATTATAGGAACTAGTTATAGATATAAAACCAGTCACGAACTTCACTTAACAACTGAAACTTTTGAGAGTTAGTCATTGACAATTATCATGGGGGGAAATTATTTAAGTTAGTTGAAACTTTTGAACTCGGTCTCTCTCAATCCAAACACGGTGATCTTTCCCTGCCTTTGGCATGTGTCTGCATTAAATACTAAAAGTGCGGTGATACCATGGAAAATAGATTATTATCTACCACAATATTATCCATTAATCAAAGGTCTCCCGAGAATACTAGTTTGGTTAGGGAGACATCCATGAAATCTGTTGAGTTGAAAACATTATTTATGGGAACTTATTAATATAAAAGTTTAAAATAGTCATATAAAAGGTTGCTGGATCATGATGCATAAATCATGAAAGGAAAAGGAAAGAAAATTATCATAACAGTTGAAGAACTAGATGTTAAACCACATAAGATTTACCAAGAGATGATTAGTCATTTTAACAAAATACCTACGTAAGCATGAAAAAACTGAGTGCATATGAATTTGGCAAAGGGGTACCTGACAATACGACTTGGTGAGTAACATTTATTCCAACTGCCAATATATCTGCGCCACTTGTGAATACAACATCAGCAGCATCTGGATCACCAAATATCTGGAATTAAATCCAACTGAAGATTTAGATAGATCGAGCAGTGAACGGTTTTGAATACAAAATGGTAATACTTACATTTGCTTCAGCAGCTGGATTCACATTTGCAAGTCTTGATCCACCCTCTTGCTGTCTACAGAGCCACTGATCAAGTTTTTCCTGGTACAATCTAGACTCTGAGACTCTGAGTGACATTAGAATTATGAAAAGTACATAGTTTTAATCCTTCGAGTAAGAGATTAAAAAATAGAAGAAAAGAGCTTCTCTAGAACATAGGGCCCAATGGGATAAATAGTGCGATTCAAACTTATTCGAAAAATACACTAGCCGGAAAGCTTCAATATGTAAAGAAACAAAGCTTGTGGTTGTTTGTCAAAGTTAGCACATAAACAATTACCTCTTTTACCAATTGGTGATGCTGTCATCCCAAAAATCTTTGGCTTTACATTAGCTTGATGATAAAATTCCTTCAACAGTAGAAAACACAATAGTCATATGAAAATTTATTTTCCAAGGGTCTGTTTGGATAGCAATGGATTTTGCTCCCCTCCCAAAAAAACAAACAAACAGACAGACCCTAATATAAAAAGTTTAATGAAAGACAAAAGATAATGTATGATCAATGAAAATACAAGGAAAAAAAAGTGTTTTCTAGCTCTCACCACCATTATCTTTGCATAGGGATGGTTGCCTGATGCTTGATGACACTCATCAATAACCATCAAGCATATCGTTTCTATACTCAGGAATGCTTTTCTTAAGGCATCCAAAAGAGTATGGGGTGTCATAACCATTACCTATAAAACAGAAAGAGTTTGCATTAATGTTTTTACATTTACTACATTGCTTTTGTTTCATTGATTAACATTCCTTGTATAGACCATCATATAGTTACACATTTCAGAATGAAAGGTTTGCTGATTGATTGTATCAAACAAAAGTTTAATTACACTACAACCATGATTGACAGAACTAATTAAACATTCATTTGCTAACAAATCAGGTAAAAAACTTAATCAATTTACACACTTTCAGACTAATACCTCACTTCAAAAGAAAATAGGAAATTAAAAACTGGTCAAAGCACAGACCCCTGACACCCCACAGAATAATAGTACTCTGCTAGTAAGTACATTTTGACTCATTTGAATTTAACTGCTAACATAAGCAATTCTGAGACTGTTTGAAAAAGCTAATGGAAACAACTTATAACATGTCCATAAGTTGTTTTTAGCTTATTTACATAAGCTCTCCAATATAGCTTATGAAAACAACATATAGCTTATTTTGAACAGTTCATTTTATTTTTTGTTCTAGAAATAGCTTAGACACAAACACTTATATGATAAGTGCGTAATTAACCAATACAATTCTATAATTAATTCAGCATAAGCTCAGAAACCAGTCAACACTGCAAATCAATGAAAATAAAATCACCGATAAACAAAGAAAGCAGTAGTAATTTTCTAACAAAGATAAAAGCATGTTAACAAACAAACATACATCATTGTCCTTAACTTCCTTCTGCCAGCTCTCGAAATTCCATGTATCAACTCCTTTAGCCCCGTGATACTCCTCAACTTGAAGATCTGTGTTATGTTTAATATTCATGTATTGCTGCAATGTAGATAGATAGATGGATGAATGAATACACAAACAACAGTTTATAAATGAAAGAGTTACGAAAAGAACATAGAACATGCCTGATTGACCAAAACAACAGTTGGAGCTAAGAATGAATATTTAGGTCAGTCCAGTCATCTCAAACTATATAACATGACTACAGTGACATTAGATAATATACCCTTATTGTGCCTAGTAAAACATGCCAACACCAAGATGAAAAATCTTTGCAAGTTGGTAGAAAGCCTTTGGTTGACCATTGTTGGCAGCCACTATAAAATATTTACATGCCAACCGCACATCTCTTTTCACTCCAATCCCCTTGAGAAACATGACACCTAGGTTATAATGGCCACCAACCTCGTCATTTTCAGCAGCCTTTTCAAAATACTCTTTTGCCTGTAATTCAGAAAAAGATATCATAAATTAAGCATAGACATACATAGACACACAATACCACCGATAAAGTGTGTCCCCATTCCATTCCCCAAAAATTTGAAGTCCATACAAACACAAAAAAGGCAAAGATGATCATACTTTAGTGTAATTTTTGCTGTCGACTCCATAGCCTTTGACATACAAATAACCAATCCCATTATAAGCAGAGTAGAGGTGATGCTTAGATGCTAGAGTAAGCCATTCAAAGGCTTTTGTATAGTTCCTCTCAACACCGGCTCCCCTGGCATATATCTCTCCGAGAAGCTCTATGGAGCGAGGCTCTCCCTTCTCCACTGCCTTCAAGAACCACGAAAGTGCCTTAGAATGGTCACGCCTCAATCCACGTAGCCCAAAGTAGTAAAAGAGTCCCACTTTGTACATAGCAGCATCATTCCCTTTCTGTGCCTGATACTCGAGAATCTGAAAATCCTCATCCTCTTCCCCTTTAGATTTTCTAAGTGCCTCTTTGTTCTCTTCAGCTCCATTGTGTAGCCTAATAGGTTCAATGACGGGAGAATCTTTGGAAATGAGAAAACCATTGACAGCCACTTCTGCTAATTCAGCATAAAGCTTAACCGATTTATCAAACATCTACAACCATTCCAACATAATCAAAAACCCTAACATTATAATAGAATAGAATATAGAAGTTTATATATTAGGAAAAACAAGTGAACTCACATCTTGACGAGTGTAGGTATAAGCAAGAGCCATTTTGGATTGCATATTGCCACCATCTGAAGCAAAATGATGATAAACAAATGCTTTCTGTTTACTCCTCTCTCTCAAAATCCCCATTCCCCACAAAAACCCTAACACTGATTGTGCCGCCGGGTAACCAGACTCTACAGCCGTCTCAATCTCACCAGAGCCTTCTTCGATTAGCCTCGCGTCTCCTGTCATAAGCTTGGTCACGGCGGAGTAGTAGAGAGCCTCCGTATCGGATTGAGGTTGAGGTTACGGTTGGGTGGAGGTTGGTTCGAAGATTTGGCGCCATGATCCAGGGTCGAGATCCTCTTCGGATTTGTGAGAGTCGGAGTCGCCGAACTCGTCCCACTCGAGGGAGGAATCGGGATCGGAAGGGGGTTCGTCTTTGAAGTCTTCTTGGGAGAGGACGAGGACGTAGGGGCGGGCGGTGACGGAGAGAGTGAGGAGAGAGAAACAGAGGAGAGAGATGAATAATTTGGCGGTGGGCATTGCTGTGTTGAAAAATCACAGTCACAGCAATTGAAATTCAGAAATAATATAGAAATTTGGAATGAGAAGAACAAGAATGAAGGATAGTGAATGTAAATGGATGAAATGTCGAGGATAGTCAAATAATAGCGTTTTATACAAAATGCTATCTTAAAGAAGTTTAATAATAGCGTTCTGGTACAAAGTGCTATCATAATTACATAGTCTGTATTATATAATAGCGCCCGATTAAAAAGTGCTATTATAAATGTGTTTTTTCCATTTTAATAGCATTTTTTTAAAAGTGCTATTAAATTAGGTGATACAAAAAATCATTTTTGGCGTAGTGCTTGGCTGGAGTATCGACGACCATCCCTCCATTCATAGAAGACAACGTAAGACCCAATCTTTCAACACAATTAGCAGCAATAAAGCAATGAGTAGCACCAATATCAATAATAGTAATTAAATGAGTACTATTAATGAAACATGTACCTCAGATGAGTATGTACTCATTAGTTGTTTGAGTTTCAGCCAAAGCGAACACTTTTCCACTGGTTTACACCTTCTTTGGTTTCTGACACTGACTACCAATGTGTCCTTCTTCACCATAGTTGAAACAAATCCTCTTTATGCTTGCACTCAAATATAGTATGCCCAGTCTTACCACAACGGAAACACCTCTTCACCTCATCAGTACACATATTACTCTTATGACCAGGTTTTCCACATTTAAAACAAACCATACAAGTAGGAGCATCTCCCCCATTAGTCCTATGACCTTGAGCAACTTTTTGTTTACCCTTACCAGCTGAGGCATCGTAGGGTTTACCACGGTTTTGTTGGTGTTTACCCCTCCTCTCATTGATAATCTTATAGTGATCATTATTATCCTCTTCATAGATCATGCAACTATCAATCAAAATATCAAAGCCACGAAACTTCTGGTATCCAACTGCCTTCTTGATCTCTGGGCGTAACCCGTTCTCAAACTTGATGCACTTCGAAAACTCAACATTTGCCTCGCTATAGTGTGAATAAAACTTAGCCAACTCAACAAAATTTGCAGCATATTCTATAACCGACATATTCCCTTGCTTCAGCTTAAGAAACTCAATTTCCTTCTTATCACGAACGTCTTTAGGGAAATACTTCCTCAAAAATTCCCTACGAAACACAGCCCAAGTAATATTTTCACCTGCAACCTCCAATTTCTGACGAGTCTCTAGCCACTAGTCATCAACCTCGACTGCTAGCATATAAGTACCATATCGAACCTTCTACGCTGGAGTGCACTCTATCACACGGAATATTCTCTCGATCTCCTTTAACCAATCTAACGCTTCATCAGGATCGTACTTACCCTTGAAGGTATGCATATTCTCCCTCTGGAAAGTTTCCAAACTTTGAGATCCAACATTCACGTCAGTGTTCGGCTGATTCTCCATAGCCTGAGCCATTGCTTCCAAAGCAGCCCCAATTGCAACGTCATTCCTTCCAGACATATCGAACTTCTAATCTCAACACAAATAACCGCCAGAATTCAAATTATCAATACTTGATTGCTAAACAAACTACGACTCGAAAACTTGGTCGGACGGACTGGCTCGCTCTCATACCACTAATTTAACACCGCATTTCTACCCGATGAATAATATTAAAATCAGAGTTACAAAATTTCGAAATACAAAAAGGATGCTACACTTACTACTTAAAAACACCTTCAGTCAATCGCATGCAAAACAGATACATAACACTTAAACTCGGATGAACCGTTAACCACATAACTTAGTCTTTAGAATAAAACAACTTTTATAAGTAAGCAGCGGAATCACAATTTTCAATTCAAATGACGTAACATCTTTATCCAACTGAAAACAACTTCAAAAACAACAAAGTACTTAATAAATCAATTTAAAATTCAGCAACGGAAGTAATCACAATAGTGAAGCAACAAGCGTTCATCTCCTAAGTGTTACGTATCAGAGCAACGACACCGACTCGAACTACTGAAGGTAAACAACCTTCACTTTGGATTACCTGCACGCTACCAACATAGGGGTAACATTTAAACAAAAGGGGTGAGATACCTAAAAATATAATAGAACACATGATAAATAATATATTAGGATCAGTTTATTCAAAATCACCACTTCGCAGCTCTTAAACAACATTTAACATAATTAATCCACCCACACACAACTCAGGATGCAACATGAAATGTGACTCTTTTTTTATGCACATGCATGTGGTACCAACGGAGCAAAACTCCCAACTTAATAATCTTCCAGTTAATAGAGGCATCAACAAGGCATAAGCCTTCAACTTTATATTTTCCAATCCATACCAACTTACTGAGCATGAGCTCCAAACTTGATATGCAATGTATGTGACAACAGTACGAATGTAGTAACAACAACAACAATAATTCAACAACAACTCAACATAATTCGACATTGGCCATAAGCCTACAACTTAATATCTGCCAATAATTAGAGGAATTTCAACATAATTCATCATCACCTGCCAACTCTCAAATTATAACAAAGTATACAATACACCATATCAACCAAAATATACTATGACGTCCTGCGCAATTATTCGGGAAATTTAACTATATTCGACTAAGTAATTTTCTGCTAAAATACTAATGTTTTCGATTATGTACTACTATCTCCGATTTCATATAGTTTACTACTAGTCACTTATTAATTATATTATATCTCCTGCTACTAACTTATATTTACTAGTAAACCTTTAATCATTTAGGGATATAATACCTTAAGAACTCTAATTATTATAATGAGAATGTTAAACGAACATAATTAACTAATTAGAATGCACATGAGCTTTAAGGGATACAAAAGAAATATGTGCCCCTCAGCATGCATAGGAATAGTAGAAGAGAATTACTAAAGACAGGTACTCTTCGGCACAATGGCCATGCCACTCGACACTTCCCTTTTATTCCTCTGTGCCAGTCATCTCACACTATGCCCCTCGGCACACCTCACAGCCTTATGCCACTCGAAATTAAGCACCTAAGATCCTCGTTGCACCTTGTAGCCTTATGTCGCTCGACACCTAGCACCTAAGCTCCTCAGTGCACCTTACAGCCTTATGTCGCTCGACACCTAGCACCTAAGCTCCTCGGCGCGACGTGTCTTCAACACGTTTGCAGACTTCATCTAGTATGTGACGAACGTTAACCCATACTTTCAGTATCCTCTTTGATCACTAATTTCCAACCAACAACATGGAATAAGATAGCGACAGGACAAGTATATCTCCTACTAAGAGATTCATCAATTTGTATAGGGCAGTTATGTAGAAAATTCATAACGACCATAACATGAAAACGGGAAATTTCAGGAATAGATCCAGAACATCATATGTAGAACAATTATAAACACAACCAATCCCTACATAATATTCATAATAATCCTCATCATCGAGTCATAACTCCACCCTTACCTTGGATTGAAGGTCTCTCTAAAACTCTCTGACCGAAAGCCTTGCCTTGCTTCTTCTCCTTATTCCTTTTCTCTGCAACTTCTCACGATCAACACACAAAGGCTTCATTATTTTATAATTAGCATAATTCTTATATCAACTTAACCTTATTTCATTAATCATATTAGGGCTAACTTACATACCCCCACCTTACTACGTACCACCATATAACTAAGCCTAACAACTTAACTTTACATTATCCTAATATTATTGTTAATATTAATCAACTAAAATAATCACCCAAATAACAACTTAGCAACATATAGAAACATCTCACACAATTCAACAAATAATTCAAAAATAATTTAATTAAATAATTAATTAAATTAACTGGTGTTACAAAGTGCGGTGGTTCTGGTCTTCTAATAGAATCCCTCAAATAATTAAACAAGAATGAAAGGAAGATTAATCCTTTGTTTGGACAGTAGAAAGTACATCATGAACTTCTGATTGATGTTGAAATAATCAGGGGAACTTGAAGGAGGTATAGGGTTTATGCAGCCCAGAATAATATTATGCCATACTCTGAGATTATCATGAAGATTCTTGCTTTTGTACTTGGATTTCTCAGCAAAGAAATTCATAAACAGTAGTTGATCTAGAGATTTATTTGCCACCTTTGATTTATTATCCAATCCATACACGCATTTTCCTTTCAAGAACGTCAATCCCTACAATTTCACAATGGACTCTTCAGTGATAATGATTCTTTGTCCAATAACATCCGAAACAATATGAAAGTCGTCACAATAAGTATTCTTTCAAAAATCTATCACTAGTTCCTTATAGACAAGACCATGAATCCTTTGGAAATAGTTTTCCCAACCTTGAGCCTTTAGTTCTTCTTTTAAATCACACCCACTTGCAGCAAGGTTGTCGAAATCAACCATTAATTTCTTAAGAACAATCAACTCCGTTGGTTTCAAGTTGCAATGAACTTGAGAAATTTTCTGTGTAAATTTATTTCTTCTTATCCTTTTTTCAGAGCGACCTTTCAGAGGTTCTGAATTATCTTCATATTGGTTCCTCTTATTCTCAGTTTTCTGATTTGAGAAGAGTAATCTTCTTATGAATTCTAATGTCTAATCATAGAATTAGATTCAGAGTCTTCTCTTCAGATGATTTCTTCAATCTTATGTTAAGAATTACCCGTCTGACTTCTTGAGAGAGTCCTCAGAGCAAAAATGTCCTGATCTTTTATTATCAGAGTCATC